TTAATGGGGTAAGGTCAATTATAAAACAAATCATTTAAGCAATCAGTTAACACTTGTTACCATCTACATTCTTTGTTTCTTATAGTAAAATATTTGATACCAGTGGCTTTATAATTCTATACCCTATGGATTTACCTTTAATTCTCAAAGAACAATGAGGGTTCTGTGTTATCCACAACAAACTAATCATAAATTTAAGGGCTATCCATTAGTTTGGAAGTCCTGTGCCATCTTTCCCTTGGAAATTGAAAACGTGGATATGAAGGAATCTAAAATGTTCTCCTCCCATCACTTGGCCTGTTAGCTGGGAATCAACCCATTAATTCAAATGTAAAGAAGAAGAAATTCTCAAATCCTATCTTTTATTGTTAATTTTCATATAATCCTCTGTTAGAATTGCAGAACACTCTGAAATCATAGACCACAAGTTACATTTTTATTATTTCACTTTTTATGGGTAAATTTTATTGCACATGTTCCAAGTTGGGACACCAATTATCTTTACTTATCCCATTCCTAGATACTAATAACAGTGTGTGACCATTTTAAACATCATGACAATTAGTCTTATAGCAATAATATGTAAAGTAGATATTACAACTGCTTTACGGATTTGTTGTAGCGAAATTAAGGTCACATGAACTAATAAGCAGCAAAAGTCGAGTTCTTAATCAGGTTTACTTGACTCCATATTTGAGCTCATAACCACAGCTATATAGCGTTACACATCACGTGAGTAAAATTAAAGTGCCCTACTTAGAATGATCTTCCATGTACACATATGTCCATATGCATATGCTATAGTCTGAATGTCCCCCAAAATTCATGTGTTAAAACTTAATCTCCATTGTGGTGATTTGGGGGAAAGTGATTAAATCATGAGGGCTCTGCTTTTGAGATATACTTTTGAGTATATACGGATATACTTTTGAGATCTGCCCTCATGAATGAATTAGTGCCTTATGAAAGGGCTGGAAGGTAGGCCCTTTCTATTTGCCCTTCCATCCCTTCCATTATGTGAGAACACAGGGTTCTTCCCCTCTCCAGGATGCAGCAACAAGGCATCATCTTGAAAACAGAGAGCAGCATTTACCAGGCACCAAACCTGTCAGCACCTTGATCTTGGGCTTTGTAGCCTCCAGAATTGGGAGAAATAAATTTACTTTATGTAAAAATCAACTAGGCTCAAGTATATCGTTATAGCAGTACAAACAGACTAAGACATTATATATTAGGAGAAAAAAAGGGAAAACTTGCTTCTTAGTCTAAGCTTTTAAACATATTAAATACAACTCTATATGTTAAAAACTATTTTGAACCAGTGTCTTACTGCCAGCAACTTTTTAATGATAAGTTTATTTTCCCTGTAAATTTGTACTGTAAAAGAACACTGCTACACAGAAGTAAAATGTATTAGAGTCACAGTACACAAAATCTGAAAGACCATGTAATGAAATTTGGGGTATTTTTGTTATAGTAAATTTTTAATAAAAATTATTATGTATCTGGTTGGATCTATAAAAATTACCTGTGGAATTGATAATTATCTAATGACTAATGAAATTTATGTATCCAATCTAGCTTTTCAAAATGAAGTAATGGATTTTCATTGTATTTATAGTGAACTGCTCAAGCAAAAATTAATTCAATATGAATGCATTGGATCAATGCAGCAGAAATAAGGGCAGATCTCAAAAGTATAGCAAAATGTTTTTAATTACAAGATATTAATCATCAAGAATAATGACAGAATTTGTGTTATGAATAGAATATATAATTGGTAAGAGTTGAGAAGTAGGTAAAATTAAGCCTGCACCTTAAATTCTATATGTCACATATTTTTCTAAACTGTTTCTTAATATCGAACTCTCAGTACAGATTACAATTTACCATGGAGCTGCAGCTCCTCCTAGTTGCTTAGGGTTCATTTTAAAATGCAAAAAAATGTATCATAGGTATTGAGTCAACACTAACCAAGTCAAGCATTAAACAAAAATGTTGTAAGTGGAGCATAAGGAAACAAAGTGAATGAATTTCAGTTCTACAAATCCCCAGGAAGTTTATTTTTAATTAATCCACAGGAAAATTATGGAAAGATAACATCTACCAATTCTGATAGCATTTATTTAATAAAATAAAATCACATAAGCAGTAATTTGATATACATTATCAAATAACAGCTCTGTGTGTGTGTGCGCGTGTGTGTGTAGAGAAACAGAAAGAGAGGAAGACTCACTATATTATAGCCATATTGTTACATATCATTTAGTCTAACAAAACATTTAATTTCCAAATGAAAATATTTAATGACAGAAATTTCAATCAGATCGGCAAGCCTGCAAATGTTGTGTATACTGTTTTACTCTCATTTAACCAGCATCCTTAGGCAAAATAATATATAGAGAACCAGATACCACTTGAAATGCTAGCCTTATAAACTTCTGGCCCTGGGTCTTCAGACACTAGGAATTAATGTAAAAAGCATTGCACATCAGCATTAAGTTTGGCAAACTATATCTTATTTTCTTGATCTGAGAAGTCAGTTCTCAATCTTTGGGCTCATCAGTTTAATTTTATTTCAATAAGAAATCGGATAAGATAGGGAAACCTATTATATCATCAGCTTGCTCAGAATTTCTTTTGACTGGAACCATTTCAGAAGAGTTCAAAACACCATGTCTTTATGTTTTCTCCTCTTTTTCAACAATTGATTTAACAGTGATGTGGGAATCACTTAACTCACGGTGTCAAAAAGACAGGATCCAAACTGTCATATTCTGAGAAAGCCACAAAAAGGTATTCTCAGATTTATGGTCTCAGAGGACACATTAGCTCAGAGGCTTTCTTTCCTGCAAAATAAAACCCATGAAATATGTTAAAAACACTACCAGCCTAAACAAGAAACGGAATACTTCAGTTTGAATGTTATAGTAAAAAAAAAAAAAAAACCCTGCTAGGTTAAGTCTTAGTGCAGTTATTGATACAAGTAAATAGATTACTAAATAAAAAAGATCACTAGTATTATGGGTGAAAATTTAATTATTTCCATATTTCTGAAATAGTACAAGGTAAAGTAATATTTTTGGAAAATGACATGAGTTGCAGACAAAAATTTAAGTGATATATGGATGGATAAAATGAAACAACAGTGCTTAATATAAAGTTCTGTATTTGATTTTTATGTTTCTAAAAATATAACTTAAATTATATCAATATTCAGTCATTTCATGTGAATTTAAGTAAAGTATAAGATAATTCTGTGTGACAGAATTGACAATTAGCTATTTGAATTTTAAGCTATAGAATTATTTATTCATTCAGAAATTATAGTGTTTTGTACATGTGTTTGGCACAAAGATAAAGTCCTTGCCTTCAATGAGTGCCCACATTAGTGAAAGAATTGAACAGAAAAAATAAAAATGAGAGAGCAAAAGAGAGAAAGAGAAAGAATGTGGAGGAGAGGGGAGTGAAAGAGATAAATTGTTTTAAAAAATTAAAGAAAGTCTGTCAGATGCAGGGCCAGACATAATAAATCCCAAACATGCATAAATGTCTTTAAATTGCTCTCTAAAAGTCAAAGTCTACTGGAACAGATTCAGAGCCAAATCCCAAACTATGCTATATTTATGAAACACATATAAAACTAAATGGCACAGGAACACTAAAAATAAAAGACTAAGCAATAATACATTAATATATTTGAACAAAAGAAGCAGAAATAGTAACATTACTGTAAGACTCAGTGTGATTCTTTTAAAAGAAATTGGTTATATATAAAGGACACAAAAATATTCATTGTTTTTTTCTTTTTAAAAAGTTCATATAAATTTAGGGGATATAAGTGCAGTTCTATTATTGCGTATATTGCATAGTGGTGAAGTCTTACTTTTAGTGTAGTCATCATTTGAATAGTGTATATTGTTCTCATTGCATAATTTCTTGTCCCTCACTCTCCTCCTTCAATGTCTATTCTTTTTCAGATAGTTTGCTATTAGCATATAGAAATGCTACTGATTTTTTGTAAGTTGATTTTGTATCCTGCAGTGTACTAAACTCACATGTTGGTTCTAAAAGTTTTTTTGGTGTGTATATATATATATATAGATATATAGATATATAGATATATATGACAATTTGATTTACTCTTTTTTCATTTTGATACTTTTAATTTCTTTCTCTTATCAAATTGCTCTGACTAGAACTGTCAGTACTATTTTTAATAGGAGTGGTGAAAGTGGCCATCCTCATCTTGTTTCAGTTCTTAGGGGAAAGGATTTCAATTTTCCCCCCTTTCATATGTTGTTAATTATGGCTTTGTCATATACGGCCTTTATTTTGCTGAAGTGTGTTTCTTCTATGCCTAGGTTATTGAAGATTTTTATTATGAAGAGATGTCAAATATCATTAAGTGCTTTTTAAGCATCTAGAGTCTAACACATTAAAATATAATTTTCTCATTAAAAACAATACATGTGCAAGATAGAAAAATGGAAATTGCAGAAAAACATAAAAAGTAACGATTACAAAATACCTACCACAAAAAGTGAACAATAACAATTGTATAGTGCTGTAACATGTTAAAGATGGATTTATTATTAGTTTTATGCAGTTCATAGGATTTGATCGCATGAATTCTTATTTAGTAACAGTGTATTCTGGAAATCCCCCATGCCATTCATTAAATTTCCACAGCAGTTTTATATTAATGGTCAAACTTTTCATCATGAGGATATACTATAATTAATGAGTCTCTAGTTTATACATTTATATATTTTCCAATTTCTCACTTTTTTTCAAACCACTGAAATAATCATCTTTCTAAGCACATTTCTAAAGTGAAATTTCATAGAAATCTGTGAAATTTTTGTTATATTTGTCTTTTATCATATTTAAAGAGATTATTTACAGCATTTCCCTAAATTTCTCTCTAAATTATGACATTTTCTACATTTTGACAAATTTTTACAAATTGTAGACCAATCGAGATTGTAAGCATGTGCTCATTTGACTGCATGGTCATCACTACTGGATATTGCTATTTTTAATAGAAAATTTTTATGATTTTTTATTAAAATATTGTCAAAATTAGGTCTGTTAGGTCCAGGAGGTACTGCATTCATTAAAGTATACATGTTATCGCCAGAGTTGGTTGAATCTGCTGGACTAGGCATGATGGGTGTTCCTGGTGGCCCTCCACCTCCTGGAGGACCTACATAATTCCCAGGAGATGCTGAGGAGTGTGGTATTGAATTGGCATTTGTTGGGTTTGGCCAAGGTCTACCACCACCTGGACCCATGTTCATTCCAGGCATTCCAGGGCCACCTAAAGCATTCAGTGGGGGTCTGATTGCACCTCTATAGTTCTGTGGTCCTAAGGGCACCATTCCTCTTGGATGAGTCATTCTCTGCATTGGCCCACCCATATTTGGATGTCCTTGTTGTCGAGTTGGATCCATTCCACTGGGGAGTAATGGCTGACTTCCTGGGACACCTCCAAGCGCCTGATTAGGTATCCTCAATGGGGGCCTTGGACCTCCAGGGTACCGAGGTGGCATAAAAGGCTGAAAGAACCCTGGTGGTACAGGACCTACTGGCATGCCATCTCCTGGGGGAATGTTTCCTAGCACTGGACTGGGAGCTGCTGCAGCACTATAATCATGGAAGGCTTTTGCTTCACTTGAGTGTTCACATGTTTCACGTCTCTCTGGAGCTGCACAGTAGAGATCCAAAAATACACACCACCAAGAATGTAAGAATCCTGGTGGTTCCCCCAATGTGATGTTTTTTTCCCATCTTATCTCTGATAAAAATGTTTGAGCTGATTTCTGAGCTCCTACATGGAGCAGATATTCATATACATAGAGTGCTAACTTCTCCCGGGCCTGGCTGTCGGATGGGACGGCGCTGCTGTTACTCTTGCCTTTGCCGTACATGCTTGTGCCAAGAGCAACTCCCACTGTCACGCACCTGTCAACCCAGTCAGATGGTCCCAAGGGTGGATTAGGAGGAATGGAGTCACATCACATGAATGGCTCTTTAGGCTCAGGAGATATGGACAGTATTTCCAAGAATTCTCCCAATAATATGAGCCTGAGTAATCAACCGGGCACTCCAAGGGATGATGGCGAAATGGGGGGAAATTTCTTAAATCCTTTTCAGAGT